AAAAAAAAAAAAGAGAAAGGAAGAAAGAAATCCTTAGAAGGCATGTAGATACTAATTTGGTTGAGGAAAAACCAGTTTATCAGTTTTACTCAATCAAATTTAGCTAGATAGGCCCAATTATCTTGTTTGCCCCACTATAACGTGCATGGCAACGTTTTTTGAGTCCTTTATTCCCAGCATTTTGTTGGGGTGCAGATTGTATGATCTTTTAAATCTCTTGATAGTTCTTCTTAGAAGACTTAGTAATTCATGTTCATATTAGTCTCTCTGGGATACTGGTCTGTCCCCTGTGTTCCTATTGGCCTAGGAATGTTTTTAAGTTTGAATTCTGCCTCTTTTCCCTAACCCTTGGAAAGAAACTATTGTCTCTCAAATGAGGACCTTTCTCTGTGTGCCGGGTGCGTCATCTGGATGTATATCTTTTTTTTTTTTTTTGAGACCAGAGTCTCACTATGTCCCCCCTGGTAGAACGCTGTGGCATCACAGTTCACAGCAACCTCCAACTCTTGGGCTTAAGCAATTCTCTTGCCTCAGCTTCCCAAGTAGCTAGGACCATAGGCGCCCACCACAATGCCTGACTATTTTTTGTTGCAGTTGTCAATGTTGTTTAACTGGCTTGGGCTGGCACTGTAACCAATGTGCTGTGGACGCTGAGCCTGGATATATATTTTATAGAACAGGTGTAATAGCTTCTGAAAGTATGACATGTTTTTTTCTAAGGGTCCTCAGAGGGTGTTAAGAGTGTTTTTGTGAATTATTATTTCAAAAAGCCAAACAGAGGCAAGTGCAATGGCTCACGCCAATAATCCCAGCACTTCAGAAGCTGAGGCAGGTAGATTGCCTGAGCTCACAAGTTTGAGACCAGCCTGAACTAGAATAAGACCTGGTCTCTAAAAATAACCAGGTATGGAAGACACCTGTAGTTCTAGATACTTGGGAGGCTAAAGCAAGAGGATTGCTTGAGGTTGCTGTGAGCTAAGACACCACATCACTCTACCAGGGGTGTCAAAATGAGTCTTACTTTGACACCCTTGGTAGAGTGATATATCAGCCCTGGTATAACAGCTCACAACAGCAACCTCAGACTCCTGGGCTCACATGATCCTTTTGCCTCACCCTCCCAGGTAGTTGGGACTACAGGTGCCCACCACACTTGGCTATTTTTAGAAACTGGGTCTTCCTCTAGCTCAAGCTGGTCTCAAAGTCCTGACCTCAGGCAATCCACCTGCCTTGACCCCCCAGAGTATTAGGAGTACAGGCATGAGCCACGGGCATCCAGCCTTGGAGTTCTATCTTTAACTAAAATGTTGCCGTTACTGGTTTTTATTGTAGATATATCTATTTTGATAAAACCAATGAACTCACATTGATCAGAATCTCTGTTTAGCACTTATATGTGTACTGGTATCCCTCATCATCCAGACGTAGGATCTAAATAGATTTAGTAATGTGATATCCTTCATTGTCTAAACGTGGAATCTGCCCACTTGTCCTGTAAATTTGGGAATTGCATAGATTCAGACAGTGTAGGATGCTTGAATTTTTCTTTTTTTTTTGCAGTTTTTGGCCGGGGCTAGGTTTGAACCTGCCACCTCCGGCATATGGGGCCAGCTTCTTACTCCTTTAAGCCACAGGCGCTGCCCTCCTT